AAAAAAAAAAAAAAAAAAAAGGGGAGAGAAAACTTCTCCAGTTGGTCACAAGATTAGATAAACTAAGCAGTTTACACTCGAAAAAAAGTGAAACCCTTCTCAGGGTTGCTAGCCTCAAGAAGCTTGAATACCCACGAGAAGCTACAAAAGAAGTTTCAAAATTGGATGATCGCTCCTATATGCGGTTTATGCGTTCAAGAAGAGGAGTCCATCCATCACTTGATTCTACATTGTCCATTTGCGGCTAAAGGGTGACAGGCTAAATTTTTTGAAGTGTTTGGGGTGGATTTCTGTTTACCTAAAAAGATTGATCATTGGCTTATGGAGGTGCTCGATGGTAGATTTTTTGGCGGCAAGGGAAAAGCCCTTTGGAAATGTGCTACACAATCCCTCCTATGGGGCATTTGGAGGGTAAGGAATAGCTAGGTGTTCAAAAAAAGGTCTTCTTTTGATCCCTTTTGGCTTAATAATACAAAATTATTTTGAACCTACAGCCTTTTATGATTATTAACAGTTGAAAGGCTTTCCTTTGTTAGTTTTATGACGAGGGGCAACCTCTACCAATTGCCCTTAGACTGCTCTTTGGTTCTTTTGAGGTATATACGTCTCTCTTCTTACCACAAAAGAAATAATAATAATAAACAGTTAACAGTCCCAACAATCACACCAGTAAGAGATACCAAGTTCTGATGTTCTAAATTACACGCTATGGAGAGCAAAATAACAAACTGATACGTAGACAAATGACACAATATATAGAGCAGATTAAGCAATACATTCACAAGAAATCTCCGTAATCGAAAGAGTATACACTGTCATTTGAATACATCTTGGCTACAAAGCGACATCATGTTTAATTGATTCCTAATCCAGACTTCATAAGTACTATGCCAGGACGGTTACTGACCTCTAAGTTATAGTGGCAAACCCTTACACCAATTTTCTCTATCTAATTTCAAGTCCTTCAACGGTTTTCTATAAGCAATCACAGATTCACAACAACTTCCCCACCAATCCTCGTTCCTTCTATTCAGATCAATCATTTCCAGTATCGAAACAACAAGCGCATACATGACGACGACAAGGATCCTAATGATTTTAAGAACTCTATTTGCACGTGTAAGCGATAATCCATTGCTATCCACGACGATAGGGGGGAAAATAATATATTTCTAAGCTATTTGTCATCTTTAATATCAAATAGTCGATCTCGTTCTATAGGCATCTTTCACTCGAGTAATTTCAGTACCTGGATCGGAGAAGAACCATAGAACGACAGCACAGAAGATAACGACGAAAGGGATGAAATGGACGAAAATCCTAGCGAGCTTAAGATGGCGACGTTTTTTCGCAGCCGCGTGAGAGAACGGATTGAACGTCGGCAGGAAAACATCTGATTCCAAGCCGGAACTCACACTGGAAGATCTGAAGATAGCGGATTGCGACGACGACGACGATGAAGCTAATGATCTCTTATCCGAGACAATGCAGGCGCTCGACGATCTCCTCATCTTCTTCGTTTTCCGGATGCGGGAGAAATCAATGGGAATGAATGACTGAAACCTCAAAGGTTTGAGCTATGGCAGAGAAAGCAAATCGAGGGGGCGATGGCTTACTCTTCGGAGTCGCAGTCCACGAGCGGACAAGAAGCTGGGGAATTCCAAAAATAGACGCTTTTGTTTTCAATATTTGAAAATCGACCCCTTTTAAATAATATATTACTTTTGGGCCAAGCATACATAAATATAACAAACATTTATCAACCTAAAATTACTTTTAAATTACTTTAAATACAAATATTATGTACTGAAAATTTGAGGCCCGTTTTAAAATCGCGAGGCTACGAAACACAATTGGTTAGATCAGACAATAGGTACTAGTGGTGGGCTTTGAACGGTTACAAATAGTATCAAAGTCAGTCACCAAGTGTTGCGAGGACGATGACCCTCAAGAAAAGTAGATTGTGAGATCCCACATTGATTGGACTGTTACAAGTGGTATCAAAGTCATTCACCAAGTGGTGTGCGAGGACGCTGGCCCCCAAGAGGAGTGGATTGTGAGATCCCACATTGGTTGGACTGTTACAAATGGTATCAAAGTCAGTCACCAAGTGGTGTGCGAGGACGCTGACCCCCAAGAGGAGTGGACTGTGAGATCCCACATTGGTCGGACGGTTACAAATGGTATCAAAGTCAGTCACCAAGTAGTGTGCAAGGACACTAATCCCCAAGATGAGTGAATTGTGAGATCCCACGTTGGTTGGACCATTACAAATGGTATCAAAGTCAGTTACCAAACGGTGTGCGAGGACGCTAACCCCCAAGGAGAGTGGACTGTGAGATCCCACATTTGTTGGAGAGGAAACCAAACATTCCTGATAAGGGTGTGAAAACATCTTTCTATCATACACGTTTTAACACAGTGAGGCTGACGACGACCAAAAGCAAACAATATAGGCTAACACTATCCAATCCAACCATAAATTTTATGAGTTAAGTTAGTTTGAGTAGTTGAAATCATTTATTTAAATTCAAATTTTTAATAAAAATAAAATATTAGTTTATAAAACTATAAATTTATTTATTTATAAATAAAATACCTTCCAAAAATGATTATTTAAGATGGGGGGGGGGGGGGA